GCTGAAACTTTTTTTCTTTTAAGGCACAAGCTTCCCATGGTTATTTGGCGTGCTTCAAAACGTGAAGCAATGATTCAAATGCCCTCCACCGTCAGAACCACTGCAGATAGTTACCAAATTCAATAAGTTGTGAATTGGTTATGTTGGTTTTTTTTTTTGTTGGCACAGTGGTAAACAAATCTAGTAAATGAATGCTGTAAATTATTTATATATGTATATATGGCATATATATAAAAGAAAAGCAGTACTTTGACTAAGCTATAGTTTGCAAGATATTGATGGCATCAGGCAAAATTGTTTTGTATAATTAAATGCTTAGCTTTACTTTTTATGTAAAGTGCAGCATTTTCCATATTTGTGTACTGTATCTTATTGATCAGATGTTTAAAATTATTTTAAATACTGCATTAAAGCAATTATTTTATTAAAAATAATAAATTGGTAACTTTGTTTCCTAACGTGAGAGATTCAGCGTCTGAAGCTGTCATCCCCGTGACTAATGGCGTGGCTCTGCCCGGCGATCTACCCGTCATGGTAATTGGCACGGTTGCCCCATGTGGTGTATTAACAATAAACATCTATATCTTAAGGTTTTTAAACACAGCTAGGTGACAGAGAAAAGAATTACTTGAAGGGGGATTGGGCAGGGAGGAAAAGCAACCTCTCATTTACCTGATTTCCCCCAGTGAGTCAGCACAGAGGCTGGGGATTTTGGTTTTTTAACAGCTGGGCAGAGGTGAGCACTTTGCATGTGTTCTGGGAAGTAAAAACAAAGAAACGGTCTCAGACTTCAGCAATGTGCAGTGGAAGCATTGTCCCAAATTATTTTTAAAGCAACTCACAATTAATTAAATGCAGGTTGGAGAACAAATATGAGCATCTGCATATTGGCCTGCCTCTTTGTCTTCTTTAAACCAGTGTGATACTTAAAATGAAAGATGTTGGAGAAAATAACTTAATTGATAAATAGATATGTATAAAGTATGACAGATGATTCCAGTGTTTTTATGGCCTGCCTGCGATGCAGATTGCACGCTTTCATTGCTCCCATAGCAAGTTGTCTCTTTCACCAGTAGTTCCTCCCTGTGTGCCACCTCTTCCCCATCCCCCCAAACACACCCCAAACCCCCACATTTTATCCTGTAAGGAGTAGCAGACATTTTCAGAAATGTTTTTCAGCAGATCTTTAGGCCTAATTTCAAACAGGGACAGGCAAGCCCTTGCTGCAAAGGCTAAAAATACTTGTCTCCCTCCCAAGGGTTCAGCCTGCCTCTCATTTGAGCTCAACTTGGCTTCTGAGAAGAACAAGCGTCCTCTAAAGCAGCACTTAGTTGACACTTGGGCTTTGGTCAGCCCCACCAGCAGTTAAAGGAGAAATGATCATGGGTTCACTTCCCTCCTTTTCCCCAGTCTCGTTATGTGTTATGGGAAGGTGGACAGCTCTTTGTGTAAACACTGAAAGCCCAGTCACAGCTGATGAAGATAAACCATGCCGTCGTGCTCCCTTGCCTCTTAGTTCTCAGCATGGTGTTCCCCCCATGCTTGGGGACTGAGCAGCAGAGCCATCCATGCCACTGATGCTGTGAGGGGTCTAAAGCTCACTCCAGGTGCTTCTTGCTAGCCAGGTGGCCTGCTGGCCTCGTGGTTATTTCTGATACACTGAGCTGCCCAGGGGACTATCGCGGCCACTCGAGTATTCTGCCTTTAGAGGAAATGGTATATACAGCTGTGGGGGGAAAGCTGTTGTTTCTGGCTCTTGACGACTACTACTATCTTAGCATAGTATGCCAAGTTTTGTATGTTATGCAGAGACTCTTTCTCTTCCAGCTGCTGCTTTTTCCCGTTATTGCCATTTTCAAGTCCTACCACTGAATCCAGCCCTTTGCACTGTCTTTGACTCCAGCTTTTTCCCTTCTCCCCCTGGGAAAGACCAGCCGGAGTGCACTAACACACCCCGCAGCTTTGTTTGAGGTTTAATGAGGAAGGTAGTGGGGGCCCATGAGATGTTGCTAGATGATTCCTCAAAGTCAGTGCACTCTCTTGGACACTTTGACACAAGTAGCTTAAGGCTACTGTTTGCATCAAGTTGTTCTAGGCCCACTCTCTTGTAGGCACCTGTGTCCTGCCATGTGAGTGCACTGTGCTCAGCAAAAAATGCTGTCAGCTGTTCTCCAGGTTCATCTCTTTGCTCTCTTCTTTGCTTTCCTCTTCATTTGTAATCACCAGGGTGAAGAAGGAAAGACTAAGGCAAACAAGGATGTCCTGAAGGGGCAGACAGTCCAAGTGATTGGACGTGATGAAATGAGCTTGCTCCCAGCAACTTTTCAAATGAGGCCTGCTGGGTTTCTGAGGCCAAGTGCTGCAGACACTTCCCTCTGCGTGTAGCACGTGATGTCTACACGTCCTCCAAGAGCTGGATCCAGTGTTGTTATCCAAAGTCCCATGGCTGGAGCCTGCAGCTCTGGAGATAACTGATCTGCAGTGAAGGCTTTACTCCTTTGATGAGTGCAAAATTGTGCACCGAAGCTGAAGAAAGGAGCACGCCAGACCTCTCTGTAATGCTGCTTTTGGTACTGGGCTTGTCGCCACGTGTCAGTGGCTTGTCCCACCCTCATCTGGTAGGAAGGCTGCCTATCTGCAGGCAACAATGCCAGTGTTTCACTTGGTGCAGTCCTTTTATAAACTAGGCAAGCATCCCTTTTGGCTTTATTATATTTTGAAGGAAGAAGCAAGAAACCTTGTCCTTTCCTTCCAGATACACCAGTCCTTCTTTCTACCACCTCTTTCTTTCCTCTGCTACTATAGGCATGAGCCTATAGGTCAGTCCTTGTCTGCTATCTATAGCTACTCTAGCACGTTAGCTGATAACTTTCCTACCCAGTCTCAGGATCCCCAGCTTCACAGTTCATGGGTTGCCTGCAGGCAGCCTGCTTTTGAAGGGGTTTTTGCTGTGAAGGAGGGAGGAGGAAAAGGAAGATCTCCATCCTGAACCTGGAAGTTGAACGGCTGTTCAGGAGTGGAAGGAGGTGATGGTGCAGGTCAGCCCATGTCAGCCCTGAGGCTGCTACTTTCTGTGCAGGGAGCAGATTCTCAGAGCAAGTTTGTGTTTCACAGTGGGCAAGACTTCCACCATTAAGTCCTACTTCAGTCAAGGGTTTTCTACGAGATCTTTGCAGCAGTAGGTACTTCTGACCTCCCAAGGGATGTTCCCCTGGCAGAGCCACGTAAAGTTCCTGCCAGAAACCCTGTCAGAGCCAGTCATCCATTCTCTTCCCCAACCCCCATTTCACAGTCCCACAGCTCTTCCAGGTGTCTCCTCTTCAATCTCTTTCTGTCTCAGAAGTACGAAACACTATAGAGCTGTGTCCTGTGTGATTCAGCTGGACGTTGAGCAGTATCAGGACCCACGCTGAGGCCCCAGGTATGACCGGTACATGTTTCTCCAGAGCTTTGCCTATCAGTAGTGTCACTGAAAGACTGTCTCCCCTGGGGCTGTGCCCTGGTGGGAGGGAGCAAATATGAGGGTCTTCTGCATGGGTACTGCTAAGGCAAAAAAGTTGTCTTCATCTCAGCAGTTTGGCACACGTGCTCCCACTCCACAGGCTTTCCTTG